AAGAATGTTTGGAAACTGATTGTGGTAGCAAATGTACAATTCTGTGGGATGTGATTGACCTTTGGAATGAATTGATCAATATATTAATCCCAATTAATAAAAAACCCAACATCAGTCATGAATAAAGCCAAAAGGTCATTAAACAGACAGGAAAGAAGGAAAGATTAAAGTGGAGTAGCTAAGGCAAATGGAGGAATGATGAAGTTACAGTGCTGAGCAAAAAAATTAGAAGGACAGCTGTAGAAGACAAAATAAAATATTATAATGAAATGTGCAAAGACCTAAAGTTAGAAAACCAAAAAGAAAAACACAGCATATCTTACATGGAAAGAACTCTCAAGATCCATCCCCTAGTCGAAATCATGAAAATTCCTTGGGCAAATACTGAGGATATAAGAAGCATCAAAAGAATGCAGAGTTACTATACCAAAAATAAATAATTGGCATTTCATTATTTCTGGAAGTAGCATATGAGCAAGAACCAATGGTATAGTTCAAGGGAGTAGTTCAAGCTGCACTGAAAGCATTAGCCAAAAACAAGGATCTAGGAATTGATAGAATAACAATTGAAATATTCAATAAGCTGAAGGACTCACTCATCTCTGCTTGGAAATTTGGATAACTGCTTGAAGGAGATCCATATTTGTACCCATTCTAAAGAGAGGTGACCCCACAGATTGCTCAAATTATAAAGCAATATCACTGATATCACATACAAGTAAAACTTTGTTGAAGATCATTCAACAATGATTGCAAGAGTACATTCTGGCCAGATTCAAAACAGGATGTAAAACAAAAGATAACATTGCTGTTGTCAGTTAGAAATTGTCTGAAAGTTGAGCATACCAGAAAGATGTTTACTTGGATTTTACTGAATAAATGAAGACATTCAACTGTGTGGATCATAAACTATGGATAGCCTTGAGAAGAATGAGAATTCCAGAACACTTCATTGTGCTCCTGTGAAACTTGTATATGAATCGAGGCACTGTGATAATTGAAAAGGGAATACTGCATGGTTTAAAATCAGGAAAGGTGTGCGTCAGGATTGTGTCCTCTCTCCATTCAGTCTTTATGCTGAGCAAATCATCGGAAAAGCTATATTTTATGATGAAGAATGTGGCATCAGGATCGGAGGAGTGCTTATTAATAACCTGAGATATGCAGACGATAGAACCTGAAATAGAGGAGGACTGGAGGCACTTGCTGATAAAGACCAAGGACTGCAGCCTTCATTGTGGATTAGAACTCACTGTAAAGAAGACACAAATCCTCACAACTGGATGTAACATCATGATAAATGGAGGAAAAGATTGGTGTCAAAGATTTCAACAGTCAATGCTGATGGAAGCAGCATTGCATGATATCAGGTGATGCATTGCACTGGGTAAATCTGCTGCACAGGATCTCTTTGAAGTGTTGAAAACAAGGATGTTACTTTGAGGACTAAGGTGCACCTAATTGCCTCATGTACACGTGGAAGTTGGACATTGCATAAGGAAGACCAAAGAAGACTCGATATGTTTGAATTATGACGAAGGTACCAGGTTGTACCAAAAGAACAAACAACTCTGAAGAAGTTCAGCCAAAATGATCCATATGGGCAAGGAAGGGAAGACTATTTTCACATATTTTGGGCATGTCAGAAGAGACCAATCCGTAGAGAAGGACATCATGCTTGGTAAAGTAGAAAAGCAAAGGAAAAGAGGTAACCTTTTGAGAAGATGGCTACAACAATAGGGTCAAACATAGAATAATGGTGAGAAGGTGCAGGACCCGGTAGTTTTGTTCTGTTTTACAGACTCGAACCTAACGTGTTTTGGGCTGCTAGCGTTGTGCAATGTAAAACAGAAAGGTTTTACATAAAGGTAGTTATAGCATTGTTATTGTCATGAAGTCAGAACTCATGGAATGGAGTGTGCAATCTAAACCACTTCATAGGATTTCTAAGACTGTGATCTTCCCAGCAGCAGGTCTCCGCGCCTGCCTTCTGAGGCACTTTCCTGTGGGTTTGAATCACCTGCCTTTTGGCTACTAGTCAAATGCGTAACCATTTTTGCCACCCATGGTGTCTTATAGCATAGTGTTACACCAAAAAACATTGTATAAATATTTGTATAAAAACATTGTATAAAGCCAGGAGCCCTTTTAATTCTGTCCGTGCCAGTGACCAGGTATGTGACCAGGTCTTGGCAAGTTTTAGGAGTTTTTTTTAATACTGCTTTCTTTTTTCTTAGTCATAAAACTATCACCATAGTTAGACTGTACAGCACCATGAATTTATTACTGAAGCTCTCTTCATTTTGCTGTAATTGTTTACCTTGTTCACTTCTTCCTTTTATTTTGCGATAGATTATTTAAAAATAATCCATTGTGATAGTTAATCTGTTTAGTCCTTAATAAGCCATACTGCATCTGAAAAAGAAAATTTCTTTCACAGTCACAATGTCGTT